ATTCGGAAGTCATAAAGAAGAAGCAGGCGAACTTGCTCCTTAGTAAGAGGGTAGGGCTGGTTCATGGCTGGAGAGCACCAGGGCTGTAATAATATACGGTTGTATGCCGAAGGACACGACCTACTTATAAACACACGCAGAACATTCTAGCATGCTCTGGAAAAAAATTGTACTGGATATTCAAGAAATTCCGAGAACTTTCTTTCCAATCAGATAAATATCATCATCAAAGAAATCCATGAGGAGATGAAAGCAGCTGCTATACGACAAAATCCAAAGTGTGAAGTGAACTTTTGTCAGGGTATTCCCACCTAACTGTTGGAGATGTTCTCCCCAGATGTGCACAACACATGTACCATATTCGACGATGTCGATGACGATGACGATGATTCAAGCCTTGCAATCGAATTCAGTGTTTGAAATATTCACGGCTGGTGGTCACCTCAGAGTAGAATGCTTGCTGACCTTACATAATATATTTCCCAGCGGCTGGAAAGTACAGAAGAGATGTTCTGCTAAATGCCCACTATCTTGTATTATTCAGACTCAGGGAAACGGGTCAGGTTCAACTATTTGCAAGCATACATTTTGGTGATGGTAGTGACTTTTTAGCACGGGCGTATGAGGACAGTGTACTTAATCGCGATGGATATGGGTATTTATTACTCGATCTCCTGCCGTCCTCTTCCATTGCCCATCTGCTCTCTGTACGGACGAGAATATTCTCACTCACCGAAACCCCTTCAATTTACGTCCGTGAGAAGGACTTGGAAAGGTATAAGAAACAACAATAGCAGCAGCAACAACAACAAGAACAGTAAAATGCCTAAAAGGAGCAAAGCCTGGATTCGACACTTCACTTCTTACATGAGGGGTCTATACCGAAATCCATATCATTCGCTGGGATATGCCAGCCGTGAGACGCTATACACGCTTACCAGGAAAAATTTCCGTCTCTGAAAAGACGGGATGCTTTCGAATTTCTAAAATCTCAAACATCGTATACGATATTTGTTAGAAAAAAGACAAATTCGATCGGCGCAAGTTCCTAGCTGGTGAAGCGCACTTGATCCTTGCTGCAGATCTCCTCGACATGCAAAAGTGGGCGAGTGAAAGCGAGGGGTTCAAGTTCATACTACTCACGATAGACTGTTTCTCTCGATTCGTCAGGGCATTTGCCCTCAAGGATAAGTCGAAAGAGGAGGTAGCAAATGCTATGGAGGAGATTTTTCGAGACATGCCCGGTTACAAAAAACTACACGTCGATTACGGTCGAGAGTTTTACAATAGGACCATGGATGCTCTTCTGAAAAAGTATAGAATCAAACGGTAAAGCACGGGCACGGATTTAAAATCGATACTTGCCGAGAGAGCTAATCTAACGCTACAGAATAGGATTTCTTTAGGATTCTTTTTAGGATTCTACAGGACAAGAACACGTTTTCCTGGGTTTCAATCTTAGCGCAAATTGTCAAGGCGATGAATAACAGCCCCCATTCTGCCTTGAAAGGGAAACTTTCACTCCGACAATTGCACGAGGGGAGTACGGGATTGGATAATGAGTCCCTTTTCCAACTGGTTTATGGTTCCGTGGAAGAGAACAGAGCGAGGCGGACGAAATTAGAACAGCTGCAAAAACAACGAGATGTCGCAGTTAATATCAAACCGTGTAGTGTCGTTAGGATCAAGGAGAACCCCTTTCGCTTCGCCCGCGGATATTTCCCAGTAAACACCCGACAACTATACAGAGTTGGTCGGATAATGGATACAGTTCCCCGTCTATATAAATTCACTGAACTTGACAGTGACAATCACATCCCCGGGGTTTTCTATTGGGGGGTGTTGATTCCTAGTAAGGAGGAAACTTACTATCCCATACGAGTCTTGGATTCTCGCGTAAATCCCGAGAATGGTAAGCGAGAGTATGAAACTCAATTTGTAGACTACCCTGGCTTACATAAGAAATGGACGACGACAGAGAGGCTAAAGAAACTTTAAATTCTTTCGCTCTAATCAAAAGACACTGGCCGTTTATCTTATATTTAGCACAGGCGACTCGAGAAGAGATTCATTGCGCTCTAACATGCGTAACTGAAGGGCAGCTGAGGGTCATATGCGAGATATGCAAGAACGTACTCTTACACTCTCTGCACCTTCCCTCCGAGCAGATCCATCTATTGCATTCGCATAAGAGAGTCATTCGTATCCTTGCTAATTCAAGTGCGACGGGGAGGAGCGAGAAATCGATATTGAAAAAACATGGTGTAGAATTCCTTTTCTTCGTATTATCTCTAGTTGTCGAGCATTCAACATATCTCCTGTAGGACATGAACAAGTTCGTATTGCTCCCCGAAATCATCTACAGACAAATCGTAGCCGATGATAACGTGAAAAAAAGCACACCTAGAGGATATGAACAGAGAGAAATCGCCGCTGTCGCCGTCGTTGCATAGAGATGAACTCCCATCCTATGGAGTTCCCAACCGTTATCGCAAGCAGGCACAGGACCTGTCATTGTATCTTACGCAAATCTCACCAGATGAGTTGAAGTGGGGAGAGGACGGATGTGCTACGATGCACAACAATAACCTCCAAAATTCGAAAATTTTTAAAATTATATATCCTTCTTGGTAAATCCCTTAAGTAAAACCCCTCCTCCACATATTGAACCATTTCTAAAGTTTTTGCTTGATAAAATTTGACCCAAAATACTAATTCACAACGCGCAGGCAAAAGATTTCATGAACGCTATGAGTTCAACCAAGAAAAAAGAGAACAGGCAAGAAATAGCCACATCTACTATGGTGAAATATGAGGAACCAAGAGTAATTTGCCATAAATTTTGAGGCAGTTCACAGGAGCACGGTTACAACGAGCAAGCCGAGCAGAGGTGATTTAACCTGTTGAGGGCGACGTGCCTCATATGAGGCCCGAACGTATCGACCACCATGGGTATTTAAATTTTAAAAGGATCAATTCTGGGGTTTTAAGGGAGTTAAATGGATATTTATTATATATTTATACAACCACATAGATGCATATATTCATTAATATTGCTCATACATCAAATTTGCATTTTTTGAAGCAAAAAAACTCAGGCCCTGGGGTATTGCAATGGCCAAAAAACCTAGTCCTCAACAGGTTAAAAAAGACAACTGCATCCACTTGTCACAGTTACATTCTGTCTGTGGCAACTGACGAGTCAGCGGACACATTCAATTGTGAGAGAAGGGAATATTTTTAGCTCCTGTTCTTTTGCTGTGCGCGGAAAGAGACTAGCACGAGAAATTTATTTTGTCTGACTGGGGACTCGCCTCCCCTGACCATCATCGAGATGCCATATCTATGGCATAGCTTGACGGCTAGGGAGCAAAACCTGGTGCTTGTGCAGGAGCAGAGCCTCGCCCGCCTTCCCTACGAGAGCCCTTGGATAAAGGTGCTGCCCTGTCGCTATCTCAAAACCGATGTTGTCATTCATCATTAACGAAATCGCAGATGGCGTATTTACTTGGGGAAACGAGGATGCTCTACTTTTTCGACATTTCATCGGATGTGAAACTTGCGGCATTAGCTCGTCCCTGTCACCAGCAGAAATTGCGCAAATAAAAACCATCTGGACTGAACCGTGCAAGATGCACCTTCGGATTGGATATTCGCAGAACCAAAGTTCTCTGCATCGGGTGAGGGTCATTCAGGAAGTGCTCCGTATTGCGCCCAACCTTCTTTCTAGAATCGAAACACGGGAAATGGATTGGGAGACGAGTTTCAGCAAGATGAATGATGCTGACGAGGTGGCAAAGTTAGAACTGTGGAGCAAGTTCATAACGTCGATGTCGGAGGTGCAGGAAGTGCCCCCTGCCTTGCAGACCAGAATCCTGTCTGCATATTATTACAACAATAAATGCATATGTACTGTATCTATTGTCCCATGACCCTTACATTTCACTTCTCGCTGTTAGAGGCATGGATCTACAAAGTACAAAGACGTATCTCTACCTTCTATCCGAGCTAGACAATCGTGGAGAACTAAAGTGCAAGCTATCTCCTACGATCGTCCTTCACCCGTCGCTGCCTTCAGAGATCGGAATTACGGAAGTCGGAACGAGGGATAAATTCCTCGTCCTCTCCTACTGCTACGGCGAAAAAAAAAATGCTGAGAATCTCTTGGAGATCGAGGGGACAGCATACCGATTTTTCCATCGACTGTCGTTACGACTCGGACGTGAATGTCATTATTGGACAGATTAACGAGAGCTAGAAAAATCAATCCACTTACAAAGAAAACGGAATAGGCAAGTTCGAATATCTACGAAGAGTGAATCGCAGCAGATTGTCATACTTTAAGACATACGTGCAGCATCATAATGATGCAATAACTTTTGGAAGCAATATTTCTCGAGTTCTAGGATTCATGGCTAGCAAAGAATATGCTTGTCATGAGGAACACCTGGCAGAAAATGCACCGGATTTTCAGTCTACCTTTAAACTCACATGCAACATTTCCGCACCAGTCTATATCGATGGAAATATCAGTCCTTCCCTACGTCTCATTTCTCGCTAAGAATTCGGGAAAAAGGTCCGCTTCAATCCGGTATATTAAAGACCTCTTGCAGCGAAAGTAAATGAGGATTTATATATTCGAATCGTTGATCAGGATGAGAGGACGATACCTTTCCCACAGAATTCGTTTTCTCGTATCGCGCTGCACTTGAGAATAGCCGATTTCTAATGTTCATGACCTGAAAATATCATCCCCGAAATTCACATTTTTCCGGGAATAAAGGAGGGAATGGTATTCGGATTATCTCTCATTTCCTCTCTATACATGTCAGTGTCAAGACCTTACCCGTAATCACATGCGTTCTCACTGAGGAATGAATAACGTTCCTTTCATTCCCCCCAGTACCGATGAGTTTCGACAACTCCTGTCTGGAACGTTTACGTCTCCTCACCGACAGTACGGTGGCGGAGGAGGTCACACGGTCAAGTCTTTTCTGTCTCCTTCGAGGACTCACGAGTTGCCTCTTTCGTCTTTGGCGCCATTACATCCGCCAACGAAGAAGGCGAAATGAAAGAAGAGAATGAAATGAAAGTTGACGTTGAAGCATGTGAAACATGAAACTGGTTCGAGAAAGAAGAAGGCAATAAAATCTATAAAAGGGAACATTTCTAAACGAGCTATGCAGTCAGGGACTGGTAATCGACTTCGACACAAGAAGAAAGTTGTTTCTAAATCGCGCAAGGCCCGGGATATTTTTGATTGAGTTTCACCATTAGATTGCTTACACTCCATTCCTTTTATGTGGCTACTTCAGGCTATTACCTTCCGATTTCGTGGAATATTACATTAATCTCATCACGGTTTCCCCATCCAAACGTTCACCGAAGGTTCGATGAATCACCAGCTGAAGATATGAACGCTATCTGCCAAGTAATGCCATCCCGTCACAATCTGGTAATAACATTCAAGACCGTTATTTGGATTTCATCATTCCACAATGCGACGATCTTATTGACATAGAATTCGTCTTAGGTGTTTCATGTACCGTTCTGAGAGATGACAATACCAAGACGAACCCTATCGGATCCGAAGATAACGAGGAAATATATTACACCGCTCAGAATGCTCTCCAGTCTCAGTTTACCAGTGTTGAATTTTTCTGGAATGGGGTGGTTGTAAATGAGAAAAAGGAAACTTATCCAATCAGCTCCTTCCTTCACCGCCTTGTGAAGATGAATCAAATAGAAAAAATTGCATGGGCCAGGGCCAGTGGGTGGTACGATTTTGAATTGAAAGAAACGGATGTTATTGATGCTGAATTGCTCGACGTCTGGCAACGTAAACGGTGGTTCGGTAGTTCCATTATTGAATTAATGTCAAAACTCGACTTGGACTTGCCAACATGCCCGTTTGCCATCGTGCCCAATAGTGAACTTCGCTTACGTTTGACGAGGAATTCCAATACGTTTTTAATTGCATGTCCCGATAGTGGGCTTAAGGATTCGAAATTAAAACTGGTTTTGCACAGTACAGAGTTCCATGTGAAAAAGTTCACACCTGTTCCCTCAGCGAATCTAGCATTGGAAGCAGCACTGAGTGAATCCCTATTGCATTATCCCGTGGAGGGAAGAGTTTCAAAGGTACACGCTCTCCTTAAGAGAATCAAAAGTTACCAGTGCGAGAATGTATTCGTTTCTTACATTCCAAAGAGAATGGTTCTGGCTTTGTTTAGCGAAACTGCACTGATGGGGGACTACGGGCTGGATCCACTCAAGACTGCGCATGCTTTCGGCAACAATGTGTCGATAACGATCTATGGGATAACGATGGATAGCGTGAACCTCGATCCCGAAACGATTGCCTTCACATAGTCCTACCTTGTGATTGGGTTGGAAAGAAAGTCTTGCAACACTTTCTAAAATTATTAATAACATTTTTCAAAGGAATGATGGGCGGGGCTTTGCATTTGTATATGCTGGAATGTTCTCGAAGTTTCTGCCCTCGGGGTATATCAGGCGGCTTCTGCCATTAGTTTGCAGGCATGGCTCCGATCGAAAAAGCAACCCTTCGCCCCATCGTCTACTACGAGTTCCTCCAAGGACACTCTGCTAGAGCCGCCGCGAACAACATCTGCACTGCATTCAAGGGCAACGTCGTCCACTATTCCACGGTGTTTCGATGGTTCAAAAGCTTCGAATCTGGCGACACGACCTTCAGAGATAAACCACGCTCAGAGCGTCCATCTACTTTCGATGACGAAGCCTTGCGGAACGCCCTGAACGTGAAGCCGAACGCCACCACTCGCGAATTGGCGGCTACACTTGGAATCACCCATATGTCCATCGGAAACCATCTGAACGACCTCGGCTATCGGAAGGTTTACTCGACATGGGTCCCTCATCAGCTCAGCGACTCTGACGAAACAAGCCGTGTAAGTGTCTGGGAACCACTGCTCCTTCGTCCGCACAAAAAGGACCTTCTGAAGGAAATCGTTACTGGAGATGAGAGCTGGGTCCTCTACGTCAACCATACTCGCAAGCGACAGTGGCTTCCACTAGGAAAATTGCCGCCACATGAACCGAAACCAGGGTTCCACGAGAAAAAGGTTCTTCTCTGCTGTTGGTGGGATTCAGAAGCAATGTTGTACTATGAGATCCTGCCAACCGGTACCACAGTGACTGCCGTCGTCTACGCTGCTCAACTTCAGAAGTCGGCCATCGTCATTCAGAAAGAGCGTCCTAAACGCGACAAATTTCTCCTTCTGCATGACAACGCTCGTCCACATGTTACGAAGATGACTCGACATACAATTGTGGAACTGGGCTGGGAAGTTTTACCCCATCCAGCGTATTCTCCGGACTTGATCCTTTCCGACTATCACTTGTTCCAGGCCCTCAAGAATCACCTGCGGAACAAGCCCTTCGACGATCAAGCACAGCTCGAAAATGATGTCGGCCGTTTCTTCGCTTCCCAATCGCCGGAGTTCTGGGCAAAGGGCATCGAGCAGTTACCCGTGCGTTGGGAACATGTCATTGATAGCAATGGTCATTACATTGTAGACTGAAATTGCATTTCAGTAAATATATATCATTTTGACAAATTTGTGCAGTGTTGCCGGACTTTCTTTCCAACCTAATACAATGGATGCCGTCGGAAATGCCAATATGGAATTAGATTTCAAGTCCTATGTTACTCCTCGTTTCACAATTTGTTTCGACTTGAGGGCAAACCACAATGGCGATCTGGCACAACCAGAGCAGCCCCTTTTTAGAACCGGCTACCTAAAGTTGGGTGTCCTTTGCGAAAGCTTTAGAGAATAACCTGGTTTTGACACTCATGGGCTTCTCTGATACACATATCGAAGTCACTGGAGACAGACAAGTATTCGCAAGATTTCCTCTTTGAACATCTGCTCGGACTATGAACGAGGAAATCTCGCAGTGAAGTCGTGCAAAATGGATTCGCGCGCGATCGATGCGGTTTTGAGACACCATCCCGCTTGTTTCGGAAAATATCGCGGGACCTTACGTATCAGATCAATTGGAGAAACTATCATTCCCAAACTTCCCAGCATGTATAGTTGCCAATAGTTGCAGTCGAGAGAAACGTGCACGACATTTCGTTGCAATGTTCCTCGAGAAAAAGGGTCAAGTGGAGTTTCTTGATAGCTTCGGTCGGTTTCAGGGTTTTCATGGGCATGCCTTAGACAGATTTGTGAGCAAGCATGAGGGAAAATCGGCTTTCTACAGCGACGTTCAAGTTCAGAGCTCAAGCGTAAAAACATGTGGGGCCCACGTCATCTCCTACCTCATTCATCAATGTCTCGACAACAACATGAAAAAGATCTATCCCGTTCATATTCCCCCATCATATCATGACGCAATTGTGAATCATTATTTGCTGACCCTCACATCAGAATTAATAAACAAATAAATTGCACATCAGCAGCTTCATTTGCAAATTCTCCCGGTAAACATGCCTTTTAGTAAAAATAATTTTTTTTTCTCGTTTGCACGAAACCCGCAATAGGGAGGATTAACCATAGATAAATCCATAGATAAATCTCCTCATCATCAAGTTCATTCTAATTTTCAACATCAGCGAATGCAAGGCATTCGCTGACTGGGTGAGATATTGTGTTCAGGGAGCGGTGGAGTTGGAAACACATGAGAGAGAAGAGGTCTTGATAATTAAACAATACGATTGCCTTGAATAAGGATGTCATCACATCATGGTTGGCTAGCACCCAGTGCAGAGTTTACGTTTGGGTCGGGACAGTCGCCACCATGGACGAAATGCTGTCTTCCATTAAGAAATTCAAGGCAACATATGAATCTTTTTGAAAGATTCGTAAGCGAGTACGGGGGAATATTGGCTGTTTACAACACATTCAAGTTCAGTGCTCAAGTGCAAAAACATGTGGGGCTCGTGTAATCTTCTACCTCATTCATTGGTGTCACGACCACAACATGAAAGAATTGTATCCCCCTCATCTTCCCCCGTGATTTCATACCACGATTGTGAACCGTTTTTGCTGACACTCACATCGGAATAAATAGTAAATAAATTCCATCGCTGCAGTTTCATTTGCAAGTTCTCGAGGTCAACATGTCTTTAAGTAAATCACATGTTTTCGTTCCTGCGGATACTGAAGGGAATGGTCATGGGGCATGTTTTCCTTCCATTTTACCGTAGCTGTCAACAGATATTGATTAGAATAGGCAAAATCCACCATCGTCTCGTAGAA